CGCTCCTCATGGATAAACCATCTATTCAACTTTACCAATCATTCAGTCACAGTAGGGGACATCACAGGACAGGTTGGGCCATTCTCCACCGGAAAACGCTACCCTCTCTAAAAGGTAGTAAAAACCGGGGTGACCCCGGGGAAATCCCACTCTCGGCCAATCTGAGCAAGAAAACCCCCGTTTTGAATCTGATAATTACCATTACCAACTACTTAAAGAACCTGTAAGGTTCAGAGTCTTCCTACATCAAAGAAAAAGTGGCATAAAACGTGATCTTGGTGGGTCTGGAGCAAAATGTCTCCATGATTTTCATCAAAACCAAATCAAAATAAATCAAAACATATACATCACAATTAGGTAAAATAAAGAATTATCCTGGTCCGAGTTAAAAACAAATGATGAATATCACTGATGATGATGGATTCTTTCAGTGTCTCTATCACTCATCAATCTAATTAATCAATCAGAGTCTCGTATGGCCTCCTCCACAGCCACTTTGTTCGCCATGCAGTCCAGCGGCCGATAGATGCTGAATCCATGTGGTGGTTCTCATGGGCTGTTCTCATCACAGTTCATCAACCCTTTCCTCCGGGATCCTTCGACACACAGAGAGTGCAGTCAGTGTTCTTATCAGGATAAGCAGTGTCTTTAATGAGCAAGTCTTTATTCACTCAAAATCTAAGTCACAACCAGATATTCTTATCCACAATTACTTTCCCTTTATCCCTTAAATCACCATTAAACTGACTACATTTAAATTAATTATCCATGGACTCTGTGTTTTTTCAGCAGATTATTTCAGTGTCTATTCAAAAAACAAAAAATAAAAATAAATAAAAAAGAAATCCCCAAAAACATTAAACATTTAACATAACCTACCTTTCAATGCCTGGCAGTTGAAAGTTATTTATACCAGTATGTATTCAGCCTGAACATCCTATGGATGTTTCAGCTCATCATTTTTGTTCATATAAGCTCAAAATCACTGCAACTAATATAATCTAATTCAAGGAACCTGTAAATATTTAGAAAACATTTAACCCTTTTTTACACATTGTAACACTCAATTAATGGATTAAATAAATGAATTTGAAAACCATTTCTACATCATAGAATATTAAGTTTTAGTTTCGTCTAAACTTGTAACTGCATTTTAGTTTACTTCTACACCCTCCCCAGAAAATTATTAGAAGTTCTTTAATCTCTAAGGAAAAAACCCAGCTTGGCGCAGATTCCCCCTATTAAAAACTCCCCCACCAGACCTTGTATCCGTGAATGTTAGTGCATGAAAGAAAACCTCATTCCCATGTGGACCCTTGTGTGTTCTTCCAGTCGTTAACCGTGTGTGGGCGTGTTGTTACGTGACAGTATGTGTGTGTGTCTATGTGAGTGGATCTATACGTGGGAAACTGGTCAGGAGCCATCCCACTACTGGTTTGGAAGAAAAAGTGTTTCTTGGAGCAGTGATCCTCTCCAACATGCAAAAAGTTTGATGTTCGGACAAGTCCATCAGGTTTCCCTCTGTTACCACAGCAGCTTTGAACCATAAGAGTCTTGGGGCCATGTGTCCCCACACCCCCTGAAGGATAAGTCTTTATCTGTGTCATCAGCAGTATCACATAGAGGTAGAAGGAAACAGTGCGTCAAAGGTGTTCCTCCCTTCAAGAGGAAATGTCATATTGAAATGTTCATCTGCTCAGAGCACAGGATTGTACTCTGACTTGCTGCTGCGTTCCCAGAACTCAGCAGTACACAGTTCCTGAAGGTGTTGCATTCGACTGCACCCCCTCTATGCAAAGTGTCCAGCTATAGTCCATTTAAAATATTCTCCAAAAAGCAGTGCTCCGATGAGAAAAAACAAACAAAACAAAAACAAAGAACAAAGAACAAAATAAAAACAAGAAAAAAGAAAATCTGTTCCAACATCCCCAGAACCAGTCAATAGTTGTCATATCTGTACCCCTGACCAGATCCAAAAATGTGCAGGAAACATAATCTCTTCTCATATGTGTTATCTCAAATAAACTAAACACTAAAGTGTGCATCCCCTCTAAAGTATTAATTGCAGCTCTAGTGAAGTAAAGTCAGGTGTTCTTATTGCTTCATGCATTAAAAGTATGGTTACCCATCCCCCAAATTGTATATAGCCCCTCAAATGCTATTTATAACTCTGCTCGCAGTAAAAAAACAAAACAAACAAAAAACAAATAAAATTAATCAAAACAAATAAAATAAAATAAAAAGATAAAATAAATGGTGAAGTTTTAGTCCCTGGGCCTGATATTGAATTGCCATAATCTCGTTAACACTATAAGTCTTCATCGTTATTGCTTATATTGAAAGAAACCATCATTTGCTTTAAACATTTGCTCCTAAAATGTTATAATTTCCCCTAAATTGCATTCTGTTGATGATACTTTACCATTCCCAAAAGTTAAAGTTTCAACTTGTTGTCCCTTTAATAATATTATGCTAATTAACAACTGACCAAACTATTTATCAAAAAACCCAGTCTAATTTATCACATAGTAAAACATCTCTAAATCCTCTTTTTTATTCCTCTATGTAAGAATACCCCACCCCCTGATGATATAGAGAAAATTTAGCAGACCATTTAAAATCTGTCTGTAAAGTTACTCCTATAATTTATACTCTATGTTGTTGCCATCGCTTCTGATATTTCTCTTTAAGAAAATAAATAAATAAAGCAATAATACTAATAATCCTCAAACTACTGCCGCGTTGTTCAGAAAGATATTACATCTACCTGTTGATCTCCGTAAAGCAAAAATATTATTCATAGATCTGTATTAATAAACCGGTTTAAAATAAGTTGCCCATCATTTTTCATTGTGAATAAGAAATCTGGTGTGTCAGTTCACTTATCTTTTTTCTCATCCGTCTTGTCAGATGATCCCATGACCTTCCATCAACCCATCACTGCCAGTGTTCTTTTCTCGTCCAAAGCAGTGGGCATCCAGTCATTTCCTTAATGTTCGCATCTCAGCAGTTGCACACCATCCCTCCTTCTGAAGTTTAGGAGCAAAGTTTGTCTCTGTGCCCCTTGTAGGTTAATCCATCCTGTGACTCAAGAAAGAAAGTGTCCAATGTCTCTCCAAACAAGCATCCATTGTTCATTTTGAAACATTCCCATCCGTAGTGTAGTCAAAACTATTCAAAAAAAATTTAACATGCGTGCCACGTCTTTTTTTTTTTTTTTTTTTTTTCATAAAGGCTAAGATGTTAGTAAACAAACAGAAAACAGAAAACAAACAAACATACAGACATAAACAACGACAAACATGTAAGACAACAGAAAACCCCAGTGGTGCCTCTGACTTCTCCAAATAGTTGTTGGTTCATCTTGTCATTCGTTAAATGCCTCTTTCAGCATGACTGCTCTTAATGTTCCACCCCAACAAAAGTCTGTGAGCTTCAAACCACCACATCAATCTGTACCTCATAGGTCATATCAGAACCAGAGAGGAATTAAAACAAACCCAGAGCTCACCAGAATGGCCTTCAGCCGGGAACAAAACATGCAGTCACAATCTCTACACCCTGTCGCTGGCATGCTGCGTTCTCACACCATCTCTCTAATGTCCTAATCCATGGTTCCGATCCAGTCCAGTTACTAACCAAGTCAGTCCAGTCAGTTCGAACCTATTCAAATCCTCCTATCAAAAAGTTTTCAACTATCTGAACCCCCCTCTCTCTCTTGCTCTAGTCACTCTCAGCCAAGTTGTCCATTTCACATACCAGAACTTCTGCAGCTGTTGGGAAAATAAGGGTTAATGCACATCTTAAACAAAAACACAATGAAGGATGAGACTTTTGTCAGCCTGTCCTGGAAGAAAAATTTTTAACATTTAAGGATTGCTACGAACACAGCCTGAAAAAGAAAAAAAGGAACATGTTTAAGCAAAACGATCTCCTGATCCTCCTTAAATGGGCCTCTGAATAATCATGCCTGCTCCCTGACAGCCGCACTGTCACTCTCTACAAGCAGGGAAAAAGTAAATGACCCCTCTGGTTTGTTACCAGGAAAAAGCAATCAAAAAGTACATCAATTAGTCAATAGTTAATCACTTCATTCACAGAAATTTGTAAAGTTAGCAGAATTTAACAAGTCATGCAAAGAAGGTAAGGCCCAGATGAACAGTGAAAAGTGTTAGTGTTAGTAATAATTAGAGATGCAAATTAATCAGTTTGTGCTTAGGCAGTTTCCAAACGGCATTATACACAGATAAAAATAATTATGGATAAAAACTGAAGGCTGAAAAACTCAGGGTCAGGTCACACCGAAATTGTTCTTAACTCTCCAGCCTTGTTTATAAAAGTTGACCCCGCTAATCTGCTGAGCTCCTGCGGGTATCTTGGTCATATGCTGTGTCCAGTTCCAGCTCGAAGTGTGAATAATCCTGTCCCTAATCAATCTCTAATAAAATCCTAATGAGAGAAAAATGAAACTAATCAATCTCTAATGCAATTCTAATGATTGAAAATGAAACCACCTTCAAATTAAAATCATGTAATGCCCCCGTCTGAGATTTTAGTTTCCCAAAAAGTAAAAACACCCATTCTGCTTCTTTCTGGATAATTACTTATATATTTAATTATTTTTCTAATCTACTGTATAATCTATTAATCTACAGTATCTCAGCTGCACTCCACACCCAAAAATTACCTCACACCTTACAACAGCAACCTGCTCTGGTCTTGTCACGGCCTCTCATAGGTGGGGCCCCTGAGCAACATGTTTGATACGATTACCCTTCTGTTATGCCCCCAGTGCTCCTTCTCAATCCTGTAAAAATGCAAATCATGTTAATGTCACATCAAAAAATATTCTTAATCATTCCCAACTTCACCACACACATTCTACCTCACATGCATTCCACATTTAGGACAGACAGACAGACATTGGCCACATAAAGTTTGTTTAATCCATCAGTATCAATTTAGAGTTATCTTATTAGAGGATTTTTTTCCCAATTTAAACAAAAAGTCATAATCTTTTCACCAGTCCGGTCTTAAGACCTCTGCACCAGTGCTTTTCAGCCTCATTTTAGGATCCTTGTTAAACTATATGTGCACATTTATGGAAACCTAAGATTTATTTGCTCACGTTAGACACCAAAATAACTTTTCACACCCAATGATTTTTAATTCTAAACGTCCCCCAAAAATGACATGTTTGAATTTTCAAATATGAGAACACCTCTAAGGGGTTCTGAAAAAGTGGTATGTTTTGTTTTTCTCCTGAAAATCCCATTACCCGTGTAGTTTTTTGGCAGGTGGGCACATAAAGATTCATGGGGCTGTATCTGGCCCCCGTATTAACCATAAAAGGACAGTTGCTGCCCTCAATCAAAATATCTATCACTGCTGCTGGAAATTTCTCAAAAACTACCTCCATAACTAAACAAATAGTGGGATCCCGGCCTCCCTAGTGTTGCTGCATTGACTTCCTTTCTCTAATTCTTACTGAACCCGCACATCGATCTTCTTTGCCCATTTCTCCCCTTCTCTATCCAACTCACCCTCCATTTCATCTACTGCTGTCTGCCTCTCTTTTATCCACTGAACTCAACCTTTCTAATTTATCTATTTGATGTAACCCACTCTATTTTGAACAGTTGACTGAGTAAAGATCCATTTAATCCACCTTAGAGTATCCTCAGTGATCAGTGTTTAATTTATATTCACTTTGCTACAGTTTGACAAACTTAGCTTGTGTGGTCTAACATTTTCAAATATAAGCTCCTGAATCAGTCACTCTAAATGCAGATTCCAATACCATTCTAGTGTAGTAATTGGTAGATGTCTTTAAGGTAAAAACTGCTTCTAGACTCCTGGGCCCTGCTTCGGCTGTGATCGGCCCTGTGTGCACTCAGTCTCTCTGTGTCTTCTTTTCCTTTTCTCTCCTGCCTCTAAGTGAAGGGCTGCTCTGTGTGATCCACCTTCTGGAGCTCAATGTTGGGCCGGGGTTGGGGTTTACAGCACTGAAAATGTACTAATTGATCTTCTTACCTTTAAAATGTTCATTTCAAGACATCGTAAATTGTAAATATATCAACCTCTTATATTTTAAGCTTTCCTTTCCATTTGTATCATATCTTCCTCATTGCTATCCGTATGTGGCTTCCTCTGCTCATCTCTCCCTCTTAGACTGTCAGCTGCCCCTAGACTGTGCCCTTCATGTTCTGTGCCCATGCTATCAATTGTTGACATTCGCTGAAATGCTTTATTTACCGCCTCCTCTATTAAATCTTGCATCTGAAACTCCTTTCGTACCTCTTGTCCCAATTCTTCCTCTGTAGGCCTTATTTCACAATTTATCTGACCTTCACGCAACTCCATAACAGGCATCTGCACACATGGGTTTGATGGAAACATTGCATCACCAGCCTTACGAAACATTTCTCTGACACCTTGGTGTGGACTGGGGTCCATAATAGGCTCTGTTTCTGCAATATTAGATGTACTCATGAAAGGTTTTTCTTACCCTCTGAAGTGTCGAGTGCCTGCTCACCTCCCTGAGCCCCGTTTTGCTCCACCTGTTCCTGTTCAGGGTCCTTGTCAGAAAAATAGTTACTAAAATTGAACTGGGTTTGTCTAATCAAATCCAAAAGTTTTGTTTCTTCCTTCTGGTGTTTGTCGCGTCCGAACACACCAGCACCAGCCATTTTTTCACGAGCTTGTGACAATCTATTTTTTAGCGTGTCCAAATAAAAACCACGTTGTGAAGTGTTTGGAGGGGGCCCCTCTAATTCCCCAAACACTCCATCTTCTCTAATTTTTTCTCAACCCATTCATCAAATTTTCTAATATGGTGCTCTGCATCCTTCAATGGATAACTCGCCATGATCATATTTCTCCCTTTATCCAGACTCGCTTTTAACGAGGTGTTTCTGGATTCAATTTCTAGTCCACATGCATCCATCTTTCACACCTTCCGTTCACACAGTGTATAAAATCAGACCTCGACGTCTTACGTGAGATCCCTCGGTGCTTTAAACTTTTTACCTATAAACTTCAGTGAGCCGCTTTTCTGCTAAGGAAGCGCGTTCGTCAACAACTGTGTCCGTCAGTGAAAAGGAAAAAAAGAAAGGAAATTTAGAGAAAAGAAAAAAGATTTAGATATAGTTCCGCCTAGTTCACTCCACCAACTTTTAGGACTAGACAAACAAGTTACCTAATCCGGGCATCAGTCTCTTCTAGTTTTATGAGGAATATCATTTTATCGTCTCTCTCTTTTCCTTTTATAAGAGAAGAGAAGGAAAGAGAAAAACACCTCAAAAGGTCCGTTTCAACCTGACCCGCTCGCTTATTTCCAGTCTCGGTTTTTCGTAAATGTCCTTATGGGAGGTATACTGGCAAACTCTAGCCGGCTATGTGACTGGTTTCTGTCTGTGCGTCTGTTTTCAGAAGTGCATCTTTCGTGTCTGCAGGCAGACCGGGAATAAAATCACCGTCCCTTTCTGCATGCAGACACCGTTGGGCGCCTTCAGTCGGACTTTCAACCGCTACCCACAGCAGAACGCACGACTTTCTTCCTCTCTCTCTCTCCTTTTTTCTTTTTTTTTTTTCTTTTTTTTTTTTTTATGTGTACACGTTCGCAATGCAAAAAAAAATAAAAACCAACAAATACAACAAAACAAAAACCGCAAAAACAAAAACTAAAATCACTCTGAGCAATTTCTCTGTCCTCTTTTGCATAAAAAGCTTCAGCTCACTTCAGAAAATCACAACACAGCCAAAGTGTTTTAACAGTAAAAACACTGGAGATATTTTGTAATAAGGAATCTCCTCACCTTATCAGTTGTTTCGGCTGCAGGCTGTGGAGCTTTTTCCGTCGGTGGCTCTGTTGTCCTGCTTCCAGGTCACGGGCGGAAACACCAATTTGTTAAAGTGAGAAGGATTTGTCCCCTTCAAAGTAAAGGCTGTAACGCCCCGGGGCCTCCTCACACGGTTCTTTTCCTGGGAGCAAGTTATTTACTACTCTTAACTCAAACTCGGTAAAACCATATGAAAAAGGACTATAAAAACAGGAGTAAAAAAGTAACAGAGTTTATTCCAGATCAGGTCGTTACAAGACAGAGAAAAATGCTTAGAGCTATGCACAGCTGTGGTCTCAAAAATCACGTCCGCAAGCGTCCGTTAAAGTTATGCTACATTGAGAGTTCTTCAGCCTTTAATTCCCCTAACTGTGGTATCCCAATTGTAAATTGGGGACACAGTCAGCGGGGAACAATAATTTGTGTCCCAGTGCTGACAGAAATTTTTGCAAGACTTGACAAGCAACAAAAGGGGAGCAGAGTCATCTATTTTATACTCAGTGGCAGCAAATATAACAAATAGGTCCCTTAATAACCGAACTCCACAACTCGCTACTATTGAAAGCCTTCTTAGGGCTATCTATTATTCTTAGTAAAGGTAGGGTTCTTCTTATTTACAGTCTATTTATACTAACTGTAGCAAACTATGTTCTCTCTCTCTCAAAGGGCAACAAAAACAGTAAAAAGATGACTACAGAGAACAATGGTTACTCACAGTTTTTCAAATGGTTTTCCACATCATAAAACAGGGACCATAGTCACTGTTCTGTTGCATTTTGATTAAAAATGTGAGTTTTTGTCAAGTTGTAAGAATTAATCATTTTAATGTATGGAATCATATCAAAAAAGGTGAATAGTTTGTTGAGGCTAATAATTTAATAATTAAAACCGAAATTCCCTAAGGAGCCAATAGACACAACAGTTTTGAATAAAGTTGTTAAAAGTAAAAAATGAATTGGCACAGAAGCAATTTCTTGCCATTGTGTTTAATACTTTTATTATGTTTTTACATCCTGTCCCTACCACCTGAAAATGTAAACATTAAACAGCACCAGATAGCTGAAAAAAGAAAGTTTAAATGTAAATTATCCATTGTAAATTATGCCCCTTGGATGGGCAATCCTGCAGTTTTGTCATCTTATGTAGAGTTTTGGTCTCGCCTAAACCAGAAAAATCTTCCAGATAGGACCGTACGACATTGATTCTTATCAGCTCTTCCACTGTTTTTGAAAAAGTGATGCTCTTGTGCTTTTATTTAACTGATACAATTGCACGTAAAGTCTAAATAAGCACCTTCCCTGTATGAACGAAACTTCTACCAAATTCTTTTAGGCATATTTCTTTAAATTAAAAAAGTTAATACAACATACAAAACAAAAAATAAAATAAAGATTAGCGGATTTCTATGAGGCGATTATAAGATCATGACAGAAAACATGTAAAAAAATAAATAAATAAAAAGTAAGACCATGAAGGTATCTTTGGCAATAAATATGAGGCAATAATGGCATGGCATTGATTGACATTTACTGTTGCTGCTTAACGATAATAATATGCTTTCAAGTTTGGCATGGAAATGACTTGATCATATAATGACAGCTCTATGGCTGTCAGGGTTCTGTGTGGTGGATAGCATCTTTATTGTTTTCCATCATTGTGTGCTGACAGAGCTTTGACTTAAAATAAAAAGTTTCTCCCTAAGTATATTCGATGAATGATTAATGGTCATGCTTTTTGTCTCTTCTAGTGCCTTAATTCTTTCTCTTAGGACACATGTTTAACACACCTTATTTTATCTCAACATTATTTCCTTTTTTTTAACTATGTTTAATGTGTATAGAATGTAAAATATAATCTTTGGGAGATGTAGATCCCTGATAAACATGAGACATTAGAATAGTATAAAAAAATAATAAAGTATAGCTTTCTGTTTAAATGAAAGACATCTGTATGTTAAAAAAGCAACACTGCATTCATTACAAATCAAGAAAAGATTGATATTTGAATATTACGTTTGATGACAGCCAATTACAGACAGGCACTGCTTGTTCTTTTTCATTCAGTTGTTATGTTATTGAAACTGCCAAGGTATAATACATATTCATGACTCTGATATGGACAGACCATTAGTAATATGTATGAAAGGACTCAGAGCTTCAAACAAGTGGTACTATTAAAAAGAGCCTGAATGTCGCCAAATTAGAAAACAGAAAAATAATAGGATAAAATTGAGTAAGCAGATTTGCATAACAGGAGTAATTTTAATATATATATATATATATATATATATATATATATATATATATATATATATATATATATATATATATATATATATATATATATATATATATATATATATATATATATATATATATATATATATATAAAAGAGGCATTGTTTTTAAAGCTATTTTATATTATTGGAACAAGAGCCAATTTAGGGTTTCTATCATATTTCCATTTTACTTGTCCTAAAACTTTTTTTTTCTCAGGCCCATGAAATAGTATTGTTTAATCCTCTCCCAAAGAAGTCTGGCTACTTCAATTAAACACAATTACAGGCCTATAATTCACACTTTACCTCTAAACTGTCTCTAAGGTCACCTACAATTTTGGAAAGGTGCAGCAGAGTGACTGCGGCAAGGGCGGAGGCACATGTGCATTCACTGCTACACACACAGACAGACAACCTGGTTTCTGAGATAAATCAGGCTTAACTATTACTTAACTAATACCTAACCCTTACCCTAACCTAATCTGAAGTCAAACTTTAGTCCTAAACCTAACAAAACTGTAAAATAGTTACTGTAATACAAAGTGCACTTGTCTAAATACGTTGCCTTACTAATAAGCGAGAAAGAGCTTAATGCAATATTAATGACATGGGATTTCTCATTGCCAGTCATTTCGAGAGACCATTGAGTTAGGGTTGCTAATTATTAATGGACCAAATTGGGAAAAAAAGTACTTCATTAGATCTTTTAGGGAATGAAGAATTGATGAAACCTTGTGGAGTTCGCTGTGTCATAATGGGAAGAATTTAACAGAGAAGATCAAATACATTTTCAGTCTATAGATGAGCCATCTCCCATAAGAAAACTATAAAATTTCAAACTGTGACTGATTAAACAGCTTTTTTGTCAACACAAACTGCTCTGTAATGATTTACAAGGTTCTTTTAAAATGTTTCTCTAGTAATTTTGGGTTTTTTTGTTGTTCACATAGCAAATACAGAACTGGTTCTCTTCACAGAGGGATAGAAATGAGAGAGGATTGGGTTGAGGTTATTCTTATCATCCAATCAATTTCAGCAGATGAGGATTGATAATTAGGCTACACATAATGTGCATAATTAATGCAGAGATTCATCTCTCTCAGTAACTGCTAAGACTGTCCAGACCTTTCTTCTCAGTTTTGCATCTTGATGCCCTGAGTTTTTACTTTTGTGGGTTTACTTACTCAAAGTCAAACATGATGAAATTAGTCAGCATTTATAGAAAAACCACACTCTGGAATTCATTAATTGACATCAAACTCATTATATTCCATAATGGTCTGCACAAGTTCACTAATTCCTGAACTTAAGGCAGCTCCTTTGTTTCCTGTCTTTCATTCATTATTGGATGAACTGACTAATCCAGGTGTGTCTGACCATTGCCGTCATGGTTACTGAGCTCAAGCATACCTAGATCAGGTTTGCCCGAGGAGCTGTCTTAGGTATTGGAGTTGAGCATAGACCATTGCAGTTGTATTTAAAGTTTCAATAACAGAAAACTTATCCAAATTCTATAGCATATTTAAATAATAGGAAATAACCCTATAGTTACTTTAATTAGTAACTACTTACTTTGATTGAGGAGTAATTGAGTTACTGTACTAACTCAGCTA